TGACAAAAAAAGTTACATATTTGGCCCTATGGGAATGGAGAGGAGAGGTATCTCTGGCAAATATTTTCAGGAGAAACATTCAAAGTAAGGGTGGGGAGTGGGGAACACTTAGACTTTATAATTTGCTTTTCTTTTCCCATTGTCACAAGATACTTAATACTTCTGGTTTATACCCAAAAGAATTGAAAGCAGGGACTCCAACAGATATTAACACACCCATGTTCGTAGCAGCATTATTCACAATAGCCAGAAGGCAGAAACAACCCAAGTGTCCACGGACAGAAGAATGGATAACAAAATGTGACACATTGGATTGATATACAGTGGATTATTATTTAATCTTTTAAGTAAAGGAAATTCTGACACATGCAGCAACATTGATCTATTTTAAAGACATTATATATGCTAAGTGAAATGAGCCAGACACGAAAAGATAAATATTTTATGATTTCACTTATAGGAGATTCCTAGAGTCGTCAAATGCATAGAGACAGTAAGTAGAATAGTAGGTGCCAGGGGCCAAAGACAAGGGGGCATTAATGTTTAATGAATAGAGTTTCAGTTTGGGAAGATGAAAAAGTTCTAAAGATGGATGGTGGCAATTATTGTACAACAATGTGAATGTATTAAATGGCCATTGAACTATGCATTTAAAAATGGTTAAAATAGTAAATTTTGTGTTATGTGTATTTTACCACCATAGAAAAAAAATGGCCTCAGACAGTCTAACCCACTGATTCACAAAGGAGATAACTGATATGCAGAGAGGGAAATTGCTCAAAGACACACAGCTCTTTGAGCAGAGACTAAAACAAAGACCCTACCACAGCGCTCTCTTGCCTACCCCACATAAGAGTAACTCATATAGCATTTTGTGCCAGGTGAGATTCTAAGCAATGTATATACATACACATCTATACATATATATACTTATATACATACATAAACTCATTCAATCCTCACAAACCCCCACAAGGTAGGTTATGTTTCTCCCTATTTTGGAAGTGAGGAAACTGAGGCATAAAAAATTTACATAATGTACCAAGAGCACCCAGTTAGTAAGTGACAGATCTACTTACTGGCTCCAGAGTGGTGCCCTTAACTACTGGCTTAGTTGCCTAAGCCAAGTACAGTGTAGTTTCTTGTATCTTAGTTTTCATGTTCTACCCTCAAAGGCAAGAATTCTGTCCATCCTTAGTAGATTGCAAAAGTATATCCAAAAGCTCGCCCCTCTCTTGTTCACGCCCTCTGCAGTGTGACCTTGCAGCTGACCCATCAAGAGGCAGACCTGCCATACCCCTCCATTCCTCAGATCTGGGCTGGTCTTGAAATTTGCATTGGTCAATGGAATGCAATGAAAGTAAAGATAAATGGGTTTCAAGCCCAGGCCTCCAGAAGCCTTGTAAGCTTCCTCTTTTTCCCAACCCTGCCACTGTCATGTGATTAGGACTAGGTGAGCCTGCTGGAGAATGAGAGACCACGTGGAGGAGAGCCCAGATGTCACAGCTGAGGCCAGCCAAGACCAGTCTACATTTAACCAGTCCACCAATATGTGATAGAGCCCAGCAAGAGCAGCTGAGCTCAGTCCCAGGGCAGCCCATAAATACGGGAAAATTGATTTCTGGTACAATCATAATGAAGGAAAACATTTGACTTGGGACAGAATGAGGCCAGCTGGCTTTCCAGGCTGTAGGAACAACATGGGCAAAAAGAAAGCTGGAACAGTGTGGGGTATGTTTGGAGAACACTGAGTAGCCCATTAGACAATAGATCAATTGTGCTTAAAGGGTCAATGGGAAGTAAACCTTGAGAAGTAGGTTAGACCTGGCTTAGTTTCCACCCAGCTTAGTAGGTGTTGAGAAGCCTTTATATGTATCACATGTTCATTTTCTCCTTACAATACCATAAAGAAAGTACTATGATTTCCAGTTACAGGAAAGAGGTCCCAAGTCAGGATTTAAATATGGGCAATCAGAGCCCACAGCCTGCCTTATCCACTTATTACAAAACTTTGATGGAGACATTGAAGGTGGAGAGAACATTGTAAAGATATTGCAGCTGGCCAAGAAAGAAACTCTGAGGGCCTGACCTGAGGTAATGGCAGTGGGGAGAGATGGGAAATAATAGCTATGGGTGAGCCATGGCTGGTGTGGCTCAGTGGATTGAGTGCTGGCCTGCAAACCAAAGGGTCACTCGTTTGATTCCCAGTCAGGGCACATGCCCGGGCTGTGGTCCAAGTCTTCAGTAGGGGCTGTACGAGAGGCAGCCACACATTGATGTTTCTCTCCCTCTCTTTCTCTCTTCCCTTCCCCTCTCTCTAAAAATAAGTAAATAAACTCTTTTAAAAAAATAGCTATGGGTGACATGCTAGAGGATGGGCTACAGGACTAGACAGCAGATTGAGTGACCAAGGTCAAGAATGAAGGGAGTGACAGGGGAATGCTAAGATGATGAGCCCAGGTGACTGGAAAAATGACTGGTATCATGATTAGATACTTGAGAGCAGAAACTGGTTCAAACATGTTGATTCTGAAATGCCCTGTGTGGGGTGAGCACGTGGAGACCTGCAAGTAGGTTAAATGAACACAGAATTAAGGCACGAGAAACATGTTTGGGGTCATCTACAGGCAGCCAGATCCCAATTTCCTCATTTGTGAAATGAAGTTGTTCTAAATGCTGAATTTTATCCAGCATGCAAAACAGAATTTCTATGATAATATACTAAGTTTTGCTGAAGAGTTATTTTTATTGGTAACCGAGAGGAAAAAGCATAATGAATTTGGATGTTATTTCATTTAATAACACTGAATTTTCTCCTTTTTGCAATTTTGCTGAGATTTAAGATTTTATTACTCTTGTATCTATAAGCTTTTGAAAGTCTAATATTGTCCCCATTTTAAAATGTTTCTTACATATTTTTTTGCTTGTTTTTGTTTTTTTTGTCTTAAGACTCAAAATCAAAATTTTAAAAGAAAAATGGTAGAGTAGCTAATATTTATTTCATACCCGCTATATTCATGACATTCTGCATATATATTTTTTCCTTAAAATATAATCTTGTGAGGAATAAGTAATTTTAGCCCCATTTTAAAAATTAGGAGATGAGGCTTACGGGTTAAATAATTTGATCAAAGTTAAAGCTAATTAATGGAAATTAAATGAACTTTATCTTTTATAGACTTCCTACTCATTGGTGTTTTCATTACAATGTTGGCTAATAAGAAATGAAGGTAATAAATGTTCTCGTTCTCAGAACAGAAGTGGTTGAGAACACTAGTAAAAGATTGACGCTCCTATTTAGAACACAAGAGCTAGCGTTTTAGCAAATGGTATGGAATAAAGTGCCTGAACCACAATCTGATGAGAAACAGATGTTAATTCAAACCTGAGTTCTGCCATACTCGTTTGTAGCATTTGGCAACCATTTAGCCCATCTTAGTCACAATTTTCTCAGCTGTAGAATTCAGCATAAAAAAAGGTCATGTACAAGGTTATTATGAGAGCCAGGAAGAAAAAGGGGTCAATAATAAGAATTCTCATTGTTTTGGAGATGACGACTTTAAAAAAAAGAGAGAGAAACAGAATACATGAAAGCATCTACCACATGCTTACCAAGGTACTCAGCAATGTTTCCTTTTTCTTCCCTAAAACATTAAAATCCCAGACTTCATGGATGACTTATGAACTTTTTATACAGAATATTTATCATTTCCCAGTGATTATATTAATGATCATCTTTATTGAATTTGAATTAGCAATTCGTATCAGTGGGGCTTATTTTTAATTAGCAATGCATCAAGTGATTCTTTTCAAATCTCTGATAGGTGAGTAACTAAAAACATTGCTGTATTAAATTAATTGTTGGTCTGCACCCATTAACATTTATAGGTGAAATATGTTCCATATGTTACACATTCAGCACATGCAGGAAACCAGAAACCCATACCTGCAGCTGACTCACCAATGACAACTCCCAGCACAAAGCACAGTCAGCACCTCCGATTCATTCATTCATCGAATAATAAATTTCAGCTAAATGACATGCACAGCAAACGAAGATTTAAATTTATAAGTAGTTCTTTCCCTGGGCAGAATGTAAAACAGTTTGTTCATCACCAAGCAAAGAATCTAGAAAGACCACTGTTTTTAGCTCTTTCATTTTTCCAATTTTGACTCCTCTATTCTTTTCTAAATGCTCCCTTCTGTTTCCATCACAACACGTGGTTAATTTATCCTCATTAAAACATAAATGAGTGATAAAGCTTAATGTCTCCTAAGGGTATTTGTTTACACTGTGATTGGGAATAAAGCCACTGACCTAAATAAAAGAAATGAGATTCTCCTGATGAACGTTAAGCATATGAAAAGCAACAAGAAAGAACTTTTTAGTCATAAGTCTTTATGTTGATCTCCAAGTCAACTCACTAGGCCACCACCAGCACTTGAAACAGGATATGTCAATCACAGAACCCTAAACTCCTGCAGTCAGTCCCCCAAAACACGGATTTAGTAATGTAGGTGTGCAGGCAACACTTGCTGATTAGAGCTGCGGGGCCTCGCTCTGGGTATGCCACCGCCGCCTCCGCCACCATGGCCCTCGCCACCACCGCAACTGCTTCCGCGCTACTGTGTTAGCTTCCAAGGATTCTCAGCCTCCATCCTGGGAGATTGTGAAGCCTGTTGTTAAAGCTGCCAGTGAGGGTGAGAATGAGTTCGTGCCTAGGAAGGGCTGTTGGGTGAGGAGGGGACCTGCTTCCACTGTTACATGTAAACCAAGCCCCACCACTCAGAAAAGTAGTTGCCAGTCAGAGGACAATCACAGCCAAGTCAATTTTAAGCTCGGAAAAGACAGTCCTTCCAAGACTGAACAAGTCTTTATAAAATATTTCCTACTCGGATCTCCACCTAAAAATTGGCCATGTTTTCAACACGGAAGATGTCAGTTACCTCCCACCCCCAGGGAAAGAGCTATCAAGGGAAGCCTGAGCAGTATGACTTACCTGAGATCCATATCTCCATCCACCCAGAAGGTTAAGATGTTAGAGATGGCTCCCCCTGGGCAGCACCCCATGATGAGAACAGCAATAGCTTGGAGGGGCTTCAGAGAGAAGCTGGTGGCCAGAAGATAGGCTATAAGAGGCATGAGCCCAAACTGGCAGAGCAGTCCCACGGCAATGCCCCAGGGTCTCTTGATGTGCAACCACAGCTTCCTGATCTCCACAGAGCACCCCAGCGAGAACATGAGCATGCCCATCATCAGAGCTGACAGCACTGAGAAAACAATTGCCAGGTTCCCAGGTGCCGGCAGCACCCCCGGCCACTCCTCCCCTGAACTGTTGGCAGGGCAGGCTGAGCTGTTGGAACAATTCGCTCTCATCTCCTCTTCTCCTTAAGGCAACATTACAAATGATCATCTGCCGAGATGGCTGGGCAGATCTGTCCTGCCACGTTTTGTAACAATGCAACAAAGTCACGTGAGGAGAATCATTCCAATAGCTATTGGCCAGCCAGATGATTCATCCTAATCTGATCAATTTCTTTACGACCGTCATTATAAAAGCAATTATCATGGCCATGGCATGTATAATAAACTGCATGTGGTAAGTAAGGCTTTCCACTTCTGTTCTTACTCACTGCTGAACATTAAAGTGAAACAAGACAAGTGAGCTTATTGTCAAGTGGAGTGACTGGGCTGTTGTCAGGATCACATCGTGTGTTCCAGGAAAGGAGGGTGGATACCAAGACAAAATTTCTCCAAATTCCATGGGGATTTCAAAGAGCCAAGATGCAATGGTTTGGAGAGGGGGAGGCTAATTTCTGGGAAATAAACAAAGGCAATTAAGCCGAAGCCCAGCATCATAGCATTAGCAAAGCATTTCTGTTAAAAATATTAAAGCGAAAGGCTGCCAGTTAAGGAAATGGCAGGGGAACTAAGGATAATTTCAAGAGAGGTTCAGAATTAGTCTCAGTTTTTCTTCTTTCTCCCTCTACTAGAATTTATTTCTAAAGACAATAATGAAACACCTGTGAGAAGAATGTGATAAAGGGCACCTGATTGTGTCTCATGAAACACACGGAAACTCATTTCTGTACCCAAAGTAATTCAAGGGAGCTGTCACTTTCTTTTGGAATATACAGTTGGCTTTGTGAGGCCACACCCTTGGGCCTCCTGGTGAGGTCTGGGAATTCCGCAAGGGAATGTAGTAAAGAGTTTGTCTGAAGTCTGAAAACAGTCTGAGGTCAGCCTCTCGCCACAATGGCCCAGGGGCCCCACTGTGTGAACCAACGAGGCACTGCTGGCGAAACCAGACAAGGAAAATGTGGTTCTGTGAAAGTAAACCTCCAAAAACGCAGAGGCCACGCCCTCTCTCACAGAGAGCAGAAAGGTTATTTGTGGGGCAAAAGCTGGTGACAAGTTACCTTCATAAATACCTCTGCCTGTCTTCAAAGGAATATCAGCTATGTATTCTTCATTTTTTGATTAGCAAATTATTCTTCATGACTAAATGGGCATATTTACTGTATAAAAATACAAGGTGAATGCAAATGTAAAATAAAACCTAAACTAGTTGAAGAAAGTATAAACTGTCTTAGGCAGCTCTGAAGGTGCAACCTTGCTGGAGGCCACCAGAGGTGAGCGCAATGAGCTGCTGCCATCAATTCTTGTTTTATGCCTGAGAACAAGCCAACATTTACAGCGAGCTTGGCGAGCCTGTCAGAAGGCAACCCAGAACCATCTGTGGTGTATTTCTTCATGGTCAAGCAGAGAAATGGTTTCATCTCTGGAAAGCTACATGTTCCCCGCTTGAATAAAGCAGACGTGCAGTAGAGCTGAAGTGGAGCGGAGGAGGGCGTCGGGGCATGCCAGGTGCTTTATGCTTTTGTGGCTGTGTCTGATGAAGCAGAACTTTTTAAAAAATTATTTAGTAAGAGAAGGTGTCAGACATTTCTTTCTGGATAACATCAAAAAGTTCCATGGCAAACCTTTGTTCCTGGAAGAGTCACTTTAACGGCCCTTCTTTAGTACACAAATTTAAATTTAACAAACGCCTCCATTTTTGAGTGAGGAAAGGCAATATAGCAGCTTGAGTGACTTGCTTGGTATTTAGCACTGATAGCTGGAGGAAGGGCCAGCATTTGCATGTTGCACTGAAGGAGCCTCCTGGAGGGAAAGATGACCTTTGTGGCTGCCCTTTTGACGTATATGGTTATCAGAATTTCTTAACTGAATTAAGATGATTCCAACTGATATCCACTGTCAGGAAAAGATACCAACATCTGATAAGCACCATGAAAGGGATACCTGGACAGGTAACAAGTTTTTTTGGATCCAGCCACCCTGGTACAGCTGTCATAGGGTGATGGAGGACACAATGACCAAGTGTATGGTGTCCCGAAGCGAAGTAACCGTGAAAGGCCAGATCTGGCTGAGAAGGGAGCAGCGGGTGAGGGCCCGCTGAACTTGGTGGGACCAAAAGATCCCCATAAAAACAATAGAGCTGAAACTAGGGTCTACCAAGGACTGGTCAGGCTTTTCCAAGTTTTTCTCCATGTGGGTTTGGGAAGGAGATTCCTTGGGAAGAGTAAGTCCCCGGGGTTCTTGCTTAATTTGTAAAGGGTATTTTAAATAGGGGATTCTAAACTTATTGGCTTGTAGAAATTCAACAATTACAAAATTTTAAAAGGTATGACCAAACCTCTACCCCAAGCTAGTGAGGTGGGTCGTGACATGCCATTTAATCCTATCCATTCTAAGAGGTAAGTGCCATCATTCTCCCCTTCACAGATACAGAAGCAAAGGCCTACTGAGGCTATGTGATTTGTCCAAGGTTAGTAAGCCAGCAAATTTTAACGTCAATATTTAAATCCCAGTCTAATTCTCAGCCTGTTCTCACTTCCCTGGAGCACACTGAAGTGGAAGCATTGGAAAGCAGTCTATAGCATGATCACGCTGAAAGACTGACAACCACGTGGGCACAGCTCAGGGATGAAACACTATTTGGCATAAAGATGAAGAAAAAACCCACCTAATCCCTCATCTTTAATTTTATCTTACGTGCTCATAAATTTATAAGCCATCTGTATATGTCCAACATATATGCACCTCAATTTTGAGATTCAGTTCTACAAATCACAGGAACTACTACATGTGAAAGACAGTCTTCAGGGAAACCAACCAAAAACACTATGCTCTTCAGTCTGGGAATGTAAATGCTGAAGGGCAATCACCAAAAAGAAAGGTAATTACACACGACTGTGGAACTGTTCTCTAGATGAAAATTACCAAAAGGGGAAACTTCTAAAAGCTTGAAGGACATAAAAAATCCTATAGGCTCTGAAAGAGTTTAGATAAACTCTCAAGAGATCAATCTGAAACAAGTTTAAAGAAATGGGTAGTAAGAAAGTAGACTGTTTACTCAGATATAACACAAGATAAAAAGCCTAATTCTATGTTTTTAAAAAATGAAACTTCAAAAATAAAAACACTATTACTTCACAGTAAAAACAGAGACCAGTAATTGAAAAGAAAATTCACTAAATCAGTAACAGGCATGGGAATCAACATCATTAATAATTTTTAAAGTATATTAAAATCTGTGTTGCCTATCAGTAAGAAAAAGAATTTAAGGTGAATATCCCTTATTGACAAGAGTTGACTGAAAGACACAGTCTCACATACTGCAGGTAAGATTGAAAATTCACATACCATTTCTGGAAAAACCTGGCAATATGTATTAATAACCTTTGTCACAATAAGCCCTAGAAGCTGTCTTAATAAGTAAACAGCAAAAATGTATTATTTATTTGGGGCAGATGTTCCTACATATAAAGGCATTATTACTTATCAGTACATTTTTATTTATAGTAGCAATATTATTTATAAAAGCAGAAAACTGGGAACAACATAAATGTCTGAAGTGCGATTGATTTAAGTAAATGTGTTCAGCCATACAATGACATATTATGGAGCCATTTAAAATGTGAACATTTTAACAAAGAGAAATGTTTATGTTATAAGGTTAAGCACAAGTAAAATCAAGATCAGATGGTATAGACAGAATCCTAGACATATTAAAATAATAAACACAGAGACTAAATAGAAACACTGAAACACATTCCTAGTGATTTCATCTGTATGTAGGACCATGAATGATTTTATTTCTTCTTTTTATATATTTTTTAATTAATTTATTTTATAGAGAGAGGGGAAAGGAGGGAGAAAGAGAAAGAGAAACATCAATGCAAGAGAGAAACATGGGTATGTTGCCACTCTTATGCACCCCAACAGTGGACTGAACCTGCAACCTACGTGTGTGCCCCAACCGGGAATCGAACTGGTGACCTTTCACTTTGCGGGACAATGCCCAACCAACTGAGCCACACTGGTCAGGGCTCTTCTTTATATTTTTTGTATGATCTAGTATCTTTGAAATGGCTATGTATTACTATTTTTATAACCTATTATTTTATAACAATTATATAATCATTTAAAAATTTACAATATTTTTAGAAGGAAAAGGAGTAAAGATAGAGGAATTTGTGGTTACTTCGAGCAGCTCCTTAAATATTGGTAGCAACCTGATGACTCAATGAGGAGCCAGACTGTTGAGATGGTTCAATCATTGTCTCTGTTCCCATGTTTTTTAAGGTAGCCTAATAAATTCCAAAGCGTCCAGGTAAGAGACACCTGCAGAAATGGAATGCAAGGGTATGAGAAGGACTGACAGCCAAGTCAGGACATAGAGAAGGGTGGCATGTGGGCTTCCAAAATATTTAGCCTGAAACAGCACCCGCTCCACCTTCAGGGTAAAATAAATGGACAGGAAAATGAAGCACCATGTCATCAAAACCAACTGGAAAAGCCTGTTTACCTTGCTCAGGTGGCATGCTATTTATAATAGTATTTGTGGTCCTTTACCCAGCAATCTTTTTTGGTCTCAGCTCAGCAGACCAGATGTTATTAAGATTATAACCATAAATTCTCATAATCTGTTTAAAGCCTAGAATTAGAAGAAAATCTACAATTTAAAATAAATGAGATTAATGGGATTTGTCAGCTATTAGAGCAAATTATTGATACTGATTTTCTATAATAACAGTAACCGCAACTGAGTTCTTCTTATGTACCATGTTTCGTGATAGGTCCCTTGGTACTTTAGCATACAGATTATTTCAAGCAGAAGGCAATTTAAGAAGCTGTCCTCCTGCTTTTTTTTTTTTTTTTTTTTTTGCTTAAAAGCAGGACATAAATTTGTAAAGGTGTCTCCCCTCCCCTCTCTGCCATGAAGGGCAGAAATTAATCATTGAGCCCATGTCTAGATTCATATTGTACCAAAGGAATCTACAAAACAAACTGCTAAGACTACACCTTATCTA